GCTGTTTTAAGTGCCCTCTGGCTTCTCTCTTATCCCTACGGAAAGGAGGCTGTGCCTGGACTACTTCGGACCCATTTTTAAAGAAAGAGCGCGTCACGCATGCATATCCTCACTGGTTTTTCCAGGACCACAGAGTCGTGGTTATCTCCCAGCCTCCTTTCCTTCCCAGGCCCTGACTTCTGAAAGAGGGGCTGTAGGAAGAGGGGAGTGTGCGCAGGGCTCCTGGCAGCAGAGCCCCACCGTGACAGGACTTAGCATCTTCCTTTTCTGTCCTGAGTGGTAAAAGGTATTTTATTCATTAGTAAATGTTTCTGCTACAGAAGTATTCGATTACTGTTAAATACTTGTGAAAGTATGTAGATCATGTACAGGGCAAAAGTGATGGTCATGATAGTTAAACAGTGAGTGCATAAGTATCCTTCTAAGGGCTTCATAAAAGTTGGCACATTTAACCTTCACAAGGCGCTGTGAAGTGAATATTGTTATTACTTATCTTTAACAGATGAAGAAATGGAGACAGAGAGTTTTAGTTACTTAAGAGCAGTGGGATTTGAGTCCAGGTCCTGTATTCCTTATATCTTAGGATATCCTTGGTTCCTTAGTTTAAAATCCCCAAATTGGAATTAGGAAACAAAATAGAAAAACAGTCTATCAAAATATGCAACCATAGGAACTGGCTGCAGATGTGGCATTTGGGATCAAGTTGTGGAGGTAGGACTGGAATTATATTGTAGAGGATTTGAAAGCAGGGTTAGTGAGTTTGGGCATTTTTCTAAATTTTTGAAAACAATCTCATTTAATCTTGCTTAAATAATATTTATAAAATAATATTTATAGTTCTTATTTTGATTATAGAATATATGTACATTCATTGTAAAGAATTCAGAAAATGTAGAGATATGACATAATAAAAAACATTAAGAATTAACCATATAGACGTATATGTTATAACGTGTAGGATATGTGTGACATATACAAAATATAGACATATAGTTTATAGATACTGTTAACATTTCAATGCACTTCATTTTAGCAGCTTTTCAGTGTGTATTTACCTATGTTTCATAGAATTGTTATCAGATTATTCATATCCTTAACTTTTTTCTTTCTTTTTTAAACATTTTTATTGAGTTATAGTCATTTTACAATGTGTCAAATTCCAGTGTAGAGCACAATTTCTCAGTTATACATGAACATATATATATTCATTGTCACATTTTTTTCGCTGTGAGTTCATATCCTTAACTCTTAATTCTGTAAATTTCTAGATATACCCAAAGTATAATATTAATGAACTACTCTGTAACCATCACCCCACGTCAATCCTTGCTAATCTGTTGCTTCTCCCTCTCACCATGCACGTATTTTTTCCCATTGAGTATTTGAAAGCAAAGCTAGATGTTGACTCAGGAGGACTTAAAAATTAATTATTATAAGTTGCTTGCATATAGAGACCTAGAGAAGGGAGGTTGTATTAGTTTGCTAGAGCTGCTGTAACAAAATATCACAAACTGGTGGCTTAAACAACAGAAGTTAATTTTTCTCACAGTTCTGGAGCTAGGAATACAAGATTGAGGTGTCAGCAGGTTTGGTTTCTTCTGAGGCTTCTCTCCATTGGCTTGCAGGTGGCTGCCTTCTTGCTGTGTCCTCATGGGCTCTCTCCTTTGTGTGTGTGCATGTCCCTTTTTTTGTCCACATTTCCTCTTAGAAGGACACTAGTCAGATTGATTTAGGGCCCACCTTAATGGCCTCGTTTTAACTTAATCAATCACCTCTTTAAATGCCCTATCTCCAAATAAAATCACATTCTGAGGTCCTGGAGATTAGGACTTTAACATATGCATTTGGAGGTGGTGGTCACAATTCATCCCATAACAGGTATTAACCGCAACTCTGAGGTTTTTCACACTTGGCGACTAGGAGAATGTTATTTATATGAGAAAGTTAGAAAGAGTTGCAGTTAGGGAAGGAAGATGATGGATTTTTTTGCTCCTTTGGCGTTGCACTAGCCACTAGTGTATAACTCTCAGTTTCATTTCTCTCTGCTATTAAGTTACAAGGACCTCTGTTTCATGGATCTGGTCATGTTCTTTACAGAGTGCCCAGCACAGGCCTGATGGAGAGGAGTTATTCAGTGAGTAAGTGTGACTCACGTAGCCATCCAAAACGGTGCTACAGCCTGGGACTAGAGAACAAAATAGAAACACAGTCTATAACCATATGCCTTGTCTTGTACCTCACCTACTTTAGGTGAGCTGCCTAATACCGTCTTGCTCTAAACAACTTTCCTTAGAAACAAATTGATGTTAATGTTTAATTTTTTGTTTATTCCTTTGGGATCATAATGAGAATGATGAGGATAGCTAACATTTTGGGGGCACCTCTTATGACTCATCGAATTTCCAATGCTGTCTGGGCACAGATGCGTTTATCTTTCATACTAATGCTATTACTATTCTCATTTTTAAAATGAAGAAACACTCATGGACAATTGAAGAAATGACAGCGAGGTATAGTCAGCGAGGGGCAGAGCCAGGATCAAACCTCAGAAGCTGGGTTTAAAACCTCACTCCAGCACTGGGAGACTGGATAACCTGGGGCAAGTTACTTAACTTCTCTGTGCCTCTCTTAAGGTTTTTCAGTGATTCTGCATCTCTTTGGCTAACTCAGTCATCCTCCAGGGCCCAGATCAAGCCACATTGATGTAGAACCTGATCCAATCACATGTGGACCTCAAGACCCATAATTTGTGCTTCCCAAGTACCCTGTCCACTACCCTGGTACTTAGCATTGTGTAGCATAATTGCTGGTTTCCCAATCAGTAGACTATGAACAGCTTGACACTGAATAATTGTATCTCTTTGAGCCTGATTTCCTTAAGTGTTCATTGAATTAATAGACTCATTTATTTAATAAAGAATTAGTAAGTTAGCCTACCTAGTGCTAATCGTGCAGGCAGTGAAATTGTTATTCTCAATCTTTGGACACATTCTGTGGATTTTGTAACAGGAATTTCTTCAGGCACTGACTTTGAAGAGTAGAAAGCACCTTCCTAAGATGGTATTAAAAATCCGGAGGCCCTTTTCCTTCCACAGATGACCTTGCAAATATCTTGCAAATATTGTGGAAGACCTAGAGGGAAAACTTGGAAATAAAACTTCCACTGTCCAAATCTCCCAGGTGGGACCAGCTTCACAATTTCACATCTCAAAGAGACCTTGGACTGACTAGTCTAGTCTGTCCATGTGCCTCTGCTGGAATGTTCCTGGATGGTGGGCTTGACACGTGTCAAAACTCCAAGATTGACACCGACACTGACTGTCGAGTGTCTGCTGAGCGATTACTGTATTACAGGCATTTTTTTTTAATGGAGGTACTGGAGATTGAAGCTGAGCATGTGCTCTACCACTGTGCTATACCCACCCCCCAGGCACTGTTCTAGGTGCTTGAAATATAAGACTGAGTAAGTATCAATCACAAGACACATAGTTGATTTACTGATTATCCCCTTTCCCCAGAGGTGGTGGAAAGATCTCCCTGTAAAACATTTTTTTAGTGAGCAGAAGTCACTGTGCAAACACAGAGTGAGAGCAAAGTGAGTTCCAGATTCTGAAAGGGTCCTTCTTCTAAGATGGGAAAGTTTTACACGGCCTTTTTCCATACAGGGTTCTGTCTGGAGTAGGACTAACTAATCGTAATTAACTAATAAATCATAGATTAACCAATAATTAACTAATAATAATCTTTTGACCTGGATATTTTACTCTCAATTTCTACCTTCCCCAGAATCAGAATCATACTCCTAGAGCTACATGGACTTGTATTAGGGCCACCACGTGTGGTGGGGTGGGCTGCTCACCACACAAGGGCTCTTGGCTGAAGGCGGGGTTGGTGTCTGGAATCCAGCCCACGTCTGCTCATCAAGCCGTGTGCGGCCGCAGCCGCCCTAAGGGAGGGCTTCCTTGACTGTTTCCTGTAAAACAGCCAGAGTGAGTGGTTAAGCTGCCAGACTCTGATCCACATGTTTTATATAGTCACTTAGATTGACTAACCCTCCTGTGAGATTGGTTGTTTTATATTATTATTATCCCCAATTTATAGATCAGTCATTCAGACACGTTGAGACTAAGTGGGAGCACGTTGCAGATGCCAGCGTTCAGATACTGGTGGTCTGATTCCAGAGCCCGCACCGTGAGCAACTCTGTTCTTTTCTCCTTCAGGCACATCCTCTGGCTTCAGGGTCCTGTCCCCGCTTATATCTGTCTTTCATCCCTCACTCTCAAAACTCTCATTTCTCTTTCCATGAGACCTTAGACTCCCGTCTGTTTTTTGTTTTGTTTTGTTTTTCTCTTTAGACGCCACAGAGAGACAAGATCTAGCAGGCTGGCTCCGGTGTGAGAGCCGGCTTTGTTTTCCGCCCCTGCCCCTTGACATCACCAAGCCTCTGCTTCCTCTTTTGTTCCATGGGAGTAACAGCCATCCCCGCCATCATTTCTTGAGAACTTTGTAAGACGCCAGGTACAGCACCAATGGCATCACATAAATTAGCTCTTTTATTCCCTGCCTTAATCCTATGACTGATGTTCTTTTTTCCCTCCTTGTTACAGCTGTGGAGCAGCACAAAGGTGCAGGTGATTGGACTGGAGTCAGGCGACTGTCAGTAGGCAGTAGCTTCCTCACAGGTGTGTGGGAGGCACCTTAATGAAACAATGCATGTCAAGTGCTCCTCAAGGCCCCGAACATGTACTTAGCGGTCATTTAGTGTTAGATACTGCCATTTTGTTGTTTTATCATTAGTATGATTACTATAGCTTGGTGATTTAAATGACATATTGATCACCTAACTGATGGTTAGATGTATCTTGCAGAGTCACATGGGTTCATTGATTTTTCTTTATCTCTACAGTAGAGTCTTTTTGAGGCCCTACTGTTAACCAAGTACATTTAAAGAATTTTTTTTATTAAAAAAATATTTTGTGGGGGGTGGGGGGTAAAGTTTACTTATTTATTTATTTTTAGAGGAGGCATTGGGGATTGAACCCAGGACCTTGTGTATACTAAGCTTGCGCTCTACCACTTGAGCTACACCCTCCACTCCAGCCAAGTGAATTTGACAAGGTCTTATATCATTTAAAAAACAGTCGTCCATCATGTCAAATTCATAGAGAAGGTAGAATAGTGGTTTCCAGGAGCCGAGAGGAGAGAGAATGGACCGTTATTGTTTGATGGGTACAGAGTTTCAGTTTGGGCTGGTGAAAAATTTCCAGAGGTGGATAGTGGTGATTACACAACCACATGAAGGCACTGAATGAACTCTACACCTAAAAAATGGTTAAAAGGGAACATTTTACGTTATATATATTTTACACAGAAAAAAAATCAATGAAATCTTAAATATTACTGCAAAGACACCAAATTCAGTATGACAAACCGAGAGAAAATAACATATTTCAGAGGTTAAAGGTGATTTTCATATGACAAAGCAGCAGCCTCTTAAGGCTCCATTGATGGAAACTATTTATGAGGACAGGTTTTATGTCACTGAATGTTACCTGCTTTTCCCCTGCTACTGAGAAATAAGGTACCCTGAAGGTGTTCTTTGAACTTTCTGCCTACTCATTTAATTCTTAAAACAGTCCTATGAGGTAGGCATTGTTAATACCTCCATTTTACAGATGGAAGAATTGAGGCACAGAGATATTAATAATTTGAGATTTCACAGCTAATATGTAGTAGGTCCATGAACCTAGACAGGTTACTCTCCTAACCCAGGTACTTTATTCTCAATTTCCACCCTCCCTAGAATCAGAGTCATACCCCGAGAGCCACACGAATTGTTATTGGCGCCACCGTGTATGGTTGCACAGATTGTTCACTGCACAGGGGCTCCTGGCTAAAGGGGTGAGTGGTGTCTGGAATCCAGCTCACGTCTGCTCATGAAGGGGCCCCAAGGAAGGGGCACCATTGCTCTTTCACATGAAGCGGCCACATGGGTTAGTGACATCCTTTGGCCAGAATCTGACGGCTTTCTTCTCCTTCCCCTATTGTGTCTTCCCAAGACTCAGCGCTTCCCCAGAAGGAGAAGGACAAAATGACCAAGTTCAAGGTAAGTTGGGCTCACCTTTCCAGGTTTTAAATTCTCAGCTC